AGGCTCATCGCCCTCAGCTCTCCGGCGTCCAGCTGTTCGCAAAGATCCTCGAAGCTGGGTTTTCCAGGGCACTCCGAGTCCTTCAGTTTGTAAAACCTCTTCTGGAACTCTGCCCGATAGAGTTGAAGCTCAACCCCTGGAATTGGTTTGGGGGCCCGTTGAACCTCTGCCTCCGCATCCTGCTCGTCCCTGACGGTGATCCTCTTCTTGGCCGACTGCCAAGCCAGAAACAATGTAGCGAACTTGATAGCGTCCGTCGGACGCGCGTCCGTGTCAATTCCCAGACTTGATTTGGCCAGGCCCTCCAGGCCTCCCCTGTCCATGGCCACGGCCGAAAGCATGGCCAAGCTTGTGACCCCCAGGTCGTAGAGACCTGCTTGCAAATCCTTTGCAACCCCCCGTTGGTCAAGGAGACCCTGCAAATCCGGGGCGAGGCCCGCGATCTTCTCCGCCTCGCTCACGCCCAACATGGCTCGCGACGCTCCGGTCGGTACCCCTCCAGGGCAGGCGCTCCGGCCTGAGCCAAAACCCACGAGGGCATCCCAGGCGCTCCGGCCTGCACCAAACCAACCTGGGCGCTCCGTCCCATCCAACGACCGCGAACGACGAACCCTGGCCTGGTTGGGCATCCGCCCCCCCAAAACACCACCAGCCCCGTTTCTCACACAAGGCTCGATCAGTCTCCAGCTTCCGACTCCTCGTCTGTCGAGGAGGATGCCGAATCGCTCGGCACATCGCCCTCCGGGCCTGCCTCCAAGATTTCTGCCATCTTCGCACGTGTCGAGAAACACGTGGAGCAGAGAACCTCACCCTGTTTAGGGTCCAACTCCGGCCTTTCCATGCCCACAATCACGAACTCCTTGAAGTGGACACCTGGCTGCCGATGACACCCTCCGGAAACGTGCAAAGTGCGCCGTTTCCCGCGGCCCACGATGGCCAGAACATAGGTCCCCAGTGGATACTGCGGTTCTCCTTCAGGAAGGTCCGCGTGGTCCTCCTCCTCGAAAACCTCAGTGGGGGAGTCATCCGGGTAGAAGCCGGCATCCGGCGAAGGTGCCGCCGGCGAACTCCTGACCTCCTGTGCCCCTTCCAAATTGATCTGATCCACCACCTCCCCGAAAGGCTTCGGCGGCAGTCCCCAGTTCGGAGGACCAATGCATTGCCCCTCACGATTGGCCTGTGTGGCCGTCTTGTGGTGCACGTCCTGGAGCCAAATGGTGAAGTTGTTGACCACTGCACGATCGTCAACCACATCCGTCAGGTCTGACTGACCTCGAATTTTCTGAGCCACCTGCTTCTGGGCGTCATGAATCATCTTCCGGGTGGTCGTGACATAGTCCTCGTCGACCGAGGGTTTCCACCTTCCCCAACGCCGCCTGACCTCCTTGCTGATGCCCACGGCGGCCGCCCAGCTGATCATGGTGATCCTTTCCGAATGCTCCGACCAGTAGCTGCTGGATTCAGGCTGCAGCAGCTTCATTGGGCGCCCTTCCTGATCCCTGATGCTTGAAGGAAGCTCGCACCAGAGCGCCCGCGAAAATGCCATCGCATCCTGGTACTTCATCATCCGCCGCCTGAAGCCAGTCAGGTTGTCGTTGGGAACCGGGAGGAGGAAGTCCTTGTCCATGTGCTTCGAATCCCTGGCCAAGTTCACGAAGAGCTGCAGTCCTGTGTGGATCCACTCTCTATTGCCCAGCCAGCATTCCTTGCCCACGTGGAACTGGATGATTTCAATGCGGCGACCTGTGCCCGTTGTTTTGCTCCTCATGATGTCTCCTTCCAGACCTACGGCCGGGTCGTACCGCAATGTCGAAGGCGGCACGCCCTCCATGTCGTGACACCGAAGCGCTCCCCAAAGTTTGATCAGCTTCGTCCATGCAAAGATTCTCTTGTAGGGCTGCAAGGTGATGTCACTGACCGCCGTCTCGAGCTCCCTCACCATTCCCACCGTGAACCGAGCGGCTTTGATGACCCTCCGTGGAGTCCAGGCCTGACTTCGCTCGGCCTCGAGTAAAAAATGCTGGAGTGCAAGGGATGCCGAAACCCGCCGATCCATGGGCACTTCGGCCGCTAGCTCCAAAAATGCCACTGCCTTAAACAAGGACCCTGGTACAGACTTGCCGCAAGGTTCTTCCATGCAAAGGGCTATATACGCAATTAAATCACCTTCGTGCCTAAGCCACCGCACTCCGAAGACGGACTCCATGAAGACTTGCAGCAGCTTTCCCAACCTGACATGTTGTCGAATCGTGGACGCACGGCGACCCATAGCAAATCGAGAGGCGAAGTAGGTGTACCTCTCCGGCTTCTTCTCCTTGACCTCGGCAAGACCAGTCACCTCCAAGAGCTCGATGAGCTTCCGCACCCAACGTTGCCTTTCTTTCTCTTCAACCTCCTGACGCAACTCCGGCGTGGGTTGATGTCCTAGTAGCCGATCTGCTCGGGTCTTCCACGACACCCTCGGCAACGCTCTCCTTGCCCTGGCCAAGACCAAGCCGATCTCTGACTCCCCCGCGGCCGTGTTGTCAAGCTGTTTCTCTATGTAAGCTTGATCTTTGTACAACAACTTTTGATGTTGCAAGAAAACGTGGTCTTCAAGGTCGAGCTTGACCCTCTGGCGCTTTGCTTCGCGCTGCAGCCACATGAACTCCTCCTTCGACCAATCCTCTGCGATGCCCGGGAGGAGCGAAACCACCTCTGCCTCCGGTATCTCATGGAAGAAGGCCAAGCTCGACCGAATCCATCCCATATCCCCCAACCGACCGAGGATGCTGGGCTCCATTGCCGCACCCTAGCCCCACCTGCTCTTTTGAGCCTTCCCGGCTACGAACCAAAGGCACACTCTATCGACGCTCGCTTTCGATTCCACGTTGTATTCAAAATTATACCATTGGGAATATTATTTTTTAAATATATAATAATTGATTTCTAAATAAAAAAATATATATATAATATATATTTAATAATATTAATATAATTATTTTAGATCTTTGCCATATATTTAAATAGTAAATAAATTATTTTCTCATAATAATATCAATATCGCGCCCAAATTGCAAAATCCATACCTCTACATTCGTATAGCAATAAAACCCATTTCATATATAAAAAATTCCTATCGTCCTCATATATATATAATCAATTTTCAATAAATAATAATACCTAATAATCAATAATAATATCCAATATCATTTGCGCATATACAATCAATACGTATCAATTCCATCCGAAATTCAATTTAAAATATATAGAAATAATTCATAATTCCAATGTAACACATTAATAAATTACTATCACCATATCCCCCACACGCACAATCAATTCGCAATAACAATATCAAATTCTATTAATTAATCGAAAAAAATACATATATCGAATTTCTCGAAAATAAATAGATTATCAATTTCATAATTTTAAATCAAATCATATATATAATTTAATTAACATATTATCAATATCATTGTTATATCATTAAATAATCATTCCAATTTATATATATTTTTTAAATATATTATATATTATTCGATTTACCTATATATTTAGAAATATCAAATATAATCATCAATATATAAACATATATATTCAAAAAACAAAAAACACTATATTAATTCGAATATATTTAAATAGATCATAATTCTAAAATAAATATATATATAAGGAAATGATTTTCATTGATTCTTCATAAAAAAATAAGTATTTATTACCAAAGGAAATCCTATTCATATGTGTTTATATTTTTTTCGATATAATATTTCAATGAGTCGGTTCAAAGAATTATTGGAATCGATTTCCCTCCAACAAATGCATGAATTATGGTGAATCCATAAATTTGTCATTTGTCGGATCCCAATTGTGTGGATATGGTTTCCATCATGTTTAACCTCCAATTTCTGATGAGGTAAATTCTTCGGAATATGTACGTATGTTGTTTCATTCACCTACTATCGCGGCCAGGATGAATGGCTTAGAATTTCCGTTGATAACCCACAAATTGACCCAAAGTGTGAATGAAGTGCAGGGCATAGGCATTAGTTTGGAGCGAAATTGACTTAAGTCTTTGGACTCTTGGCTCCTTGTGGAGCGAAGACCATCCATGATTTCACCATGGATCGGCTAAACACGCCAGGCAGCGAACATGTCATTTGCAAAGGTATTTGTCTGTTTCCCTTCGTGCATTCTTTGGATCTTAGCATTTGGGACTTAAAATCACTTTGGTAGTCTAGTGATCTAGTGACCTCGGTCAATAGAAGCTCAAAGCCTTCTGCGCTGTGTCACTATGTCGCTGTCCTGCACTAGGTGGAAGCTGCCGCAGATGGTCAGCGGAGCTCACAAGCAAGGGAACTTGGATAGAGCTCTTTGGAGCTAGCCAGAGAATGCTTAGAAAAGCGATGAAAAGCGAAGTCTTTTTTGGATTGAAAGGTCCCAATTTAATATCGAAAGCTCCTTCCGGCATCAACCGTCGAATCGTTGTTGTCGTCTGTTGTTGCGAGTGGGCCAACTGAGGGATAATCCAAGCTTCCTTAAAGCATGCAGGGTGCAGTCCTGATCAGATTATTTACCTCAAATTATCAGGCTGTGCACCGAACTTGGGAAATTCTCGTGGAAAACAGCGACAAGGATCTGTACCCTTGTCTCGATGTTGCCAATGGCCATTATGATCACCATCGTCCACAAGAAGCAAAAGCCTTTTCAACAGCAACGTGAATTGTCCACAAGTGATGATGTATGTAGATAAATGTAGTTAATGCCAACGGTGTTATAAGACATCAATTTTGAGCCTCAGCCTGCCACGCTTTGCGATGCTGACTGCTCAAGTTGATTCTCAGAGAAGCTCAATATCATGGTCGCTGTATAGGTCAAGTAAGGGTTCTAATGACGATTTTCACGCATGTCCCTTGAAAGATTCTTCATTCGCGACAGAATCGCCTCATATTTGCACCTACGCGACGTTCGACAAACGGGGAGAGCTTCTCTGCGGGAGATCGCTTTGGCGAGTCCCACTAGCTCTCGGAGAGACGAAGAGCCAACTGCTCCTGAGAAGAAACAGGGGAAGGCCGAGCGCCACGAAACAAATCAAAAGATGAAACGATATGAAACAACTTACAGTAAGGCATTCTGAATTCAAAGTCACAAAAATTGAAGTCAAGGCCAAGGCCCTAAACTTTAAACTTTAAACGTCTTCAAGCATAGAAACACAGGCACCATCTCAAAAGTTCAAAGAGCCAAACATGGGAACATGAACTTAGTCTGCTGTCTTTTGCCCGAATATTGTTGTGCAGTGTGGTGGCATCACTCTCAAGCTTGGGGACAGGCTGTCGAATAGACGAGCAGTGACCATCGGTGCTGATCATTTGCTTATCATATGTGTTTTCTCAGTGCTCGGGCGGCTACAGCCAGTTCTTTAATCCCATAGAGTCCTGAAGAAAGAGGACCCAGTCAGAATACGACATCTCTGTGACCTGAGGCAGCTACCATTAGAAAGACCGCTGTCTGCTGCCATCTCATGCCTTTGTCCCGGTCTTCGCACCACTGAGCAGCCAACACCCGTGCCTTCGACAAAGAGGGAGGACAGCAACACCTTGCACAATGGTTTGTTTGTTGTTTGTGGGTCAAGAGATAGTGTCAGCGAGCGCATGGCCTCTATGTGCCTCTCTTGAATTACAATAGAATGAATTAGTGGTTGGATATGGTTGGGTGAAAGACTTCACATGTCTTTGAACATCCTCATCTCCAAAAGAAATAGTTCACACAAACAACATCAAACAGCACATCCTACAAGCCGAGGGTTTTCCTAAGTGCGGCCTTCTCAGGCCAAGAGATGTGCTCGGAAGAGCTCTTCGCCACTGCTGCAATGTGTGGCGTGCGACCTTGCCATCGGTGCCCACATCTCCGTCGTCCTTGTTTTGTTGTGTTCTGTGACATAGTAGCTTCTTGTTACTAGTAGCGATGACCTCCAACCTACTTCCGACGGTAGCGTCCTTGCTAATCCCGATTACTAGTAGCCGTCCGATCCACCGAGCTGAATCCATCATGGATTCATCATCCATCCAATCCAGCTACATCCAGCACACCCAAGTGAGTGCAGCTCGAGATAATGAGCTGGCTCGGATTGTTGCCGATTTATAGATATTGTTGTCATGTGTTGCCCCTCTTCCGATTTGTGTTGCAAGGTTTTGTACTGAAGGCCCCTGACTGCCATAGCGAGGCCGGCCGCTTGGGGTAGCCTCCTGCATGATCTTTTCCTGCCGGTCGCCGTCGCCAGCCCGTGTACCGGTAAACCTGGACTTCTGATCTAGTGGCGAATTGTTTCGCAAGAATATTGCCAACGCAAAATTAAAATATCGTAAAATCTCTAAACATCTCGCGACTCCATACGACTCGTGACTTCTGGGATCCTGCGTTGTTTTGCCTAATCGGCGATCAACTAGAACAGGACCGGACAGACTGCCATCGGTGCGCCTCCGTCTTCAAAGGAACAGATAGGCGCGGCAAGTCAAATAGTGGAATCCAGTCCTTACGTCCGACCAAAGGGCCCACAAATGCCCACACAAGAACCGAAAGGCCAGCAAGGGGGGAATTCAAAAGCAAGAATTCGCGCAATGATATGCAATGATCAACATCTGACCAAAAAAGTCTGCAGCCGATACCGATACTCAATAACTTGGTACTGTGTTCAAATACTGTGGTGATGGTCCAGCAAATTGGAACAATTTGTGTTTCAAAATCTCTATTCGAGGGGTCCAACAACCTTCAAGACATTGTTCAAACTGAACATGCATACCTCATAGAATCGAAAACAAAAGAGTTAATTACGATTATTTCATCGCGTCCAAGGGGCTGAGACCGGCTGAAGCACCTCTCTGATCCTGTGCCGCTCTTGAGCTACTGACCAAGTGAACCCATGAAACATCAAGTGTCTCTAAAAATGTAGGAATCAAATCATTAGTGCGAGCGCTTCCTTAGGCGGGGGAGCTTCCTTGAAGAAACGTGAGCTATCCTGCGTCCTACTTAATAGCATACTATAGCTACCGTAGCTACCTCTTCTTCTTCTCCTAGCGACCTACCCCTCGCCTCCCGGGCTGTTTAAAAAATAAATCCCCCATGATCGACAAAGTCCACTCTCGGCCTTTCGGCCAGCTCACCGGCAGCCTCTCGTAGCTCTGGCCGATCGCCTGACCGAGCCATCGCGGCCGGCCGCGTCGCAGCAAGCAAAAGACTTTGCCATGTTGTGTGGAGAGTTGTGCCATCGGAGACATGGCACACTTCCTTTTAGATGTTCGGAAGTTGATCAAGAACCTCATCTGATCCGAACACCTGGACTTGAAATCTCAACAAGACCTCAACATTCACTCTGATTCTCTGATTACATACATATATATATATACCTAACTAGTCATACATTAAAGTAACGCGCTATGTATATATATATATGTGTGTATGTACTACATACAGGTGTACGTGTGTACAGGTGTACATCCATCCATCCATCGATCCATCCATCCATCCATGCATGCGCATTGCATTGCGTTGCGTTGCATTGCATTGCATGGCATTACAGTACAGCACAGTACAGTACAGTACATTACATACATACTAACATAACATAGCGTAACATTAGCATAACAGCATCCCGGCAAGAGACCCCAAACAGTGTGTGTGTGTGAGGTCTAGACGTGTAGCAGCAGAAAGTCTAGAGATCTAGACGCATTGGGGTCCAGAGAGGTGATGGTGGTGGTGAAGGTGGAGATTGTGGTGATGGTGGCGGCGGTTGGTGAGTGTGAGTGTGAGTGTGAGTGAGAGTGTGAGGGTGAGTGTGAGAGTGAGAGTGAGAGTGAGTGAGAGTGAGAGTGAGTGAGAGTGGGAGTGAGAGTGAGTGAGAGTGGGAGTGAGTGTGAGAGGGCGAGGGCGAAAGTGAGTGTGAGTGTGTGAGTGAGAGATATGCGGGTGAGTGTGAGTGTGAGTGAGATCGTGAGTGACAGTGAGAGGGTGAGAGTGAGAGTGAAAGTGAGTGTGAGAGTGAGTGGGCGAGTGTGAGTGTGAGTGAATGTGAGTGTGAGTATGAGTGAGAGATAGTGAGAGTGGATGCGAGTGAGAGTGAGTGAGTGTGAGTGTGAGTGTGAGTGTCGCCTCGACGATCACCACCATGTCCAAAGTGCGCACCTGCCACGAAATCTGCGCTTCGAAGTAAAGCCGCTCCGATCGCCTGCGCCTGTCACGAAAAGTCGAAATTTGGACCACCAAAACACGAGGTTTCCCTTGCGCCTGCCACGCAAAGTGATCACCATGTGCGAAAATGCGCACGGCGCCACAGCGAGAGCGCAGTCGCGACAAGCACTCACCGCCGCCGCCCAGATTTCGCGAGCCTGCGCAGTCGAAATGCACTTCGAGGATTTCGAGAGGCATGAATGCACTGGAAATAGCAGTGAATTAGCCGTTAACGCCCGCGCGCCCCAGCGATCTAAGCACAGCTGCTTAACCACTACCGTAAGAACCCCTAAGTGTCTCCACACCACTGTTTGGGGAATATATATATATATGTACATACATGCATAACAAACATACCATACTGTACCATATCATACCATGCCAAACCATTACATAACATACATACAAATCCAAATTCAAAGCAATTTTGCAAGTAATCCCTTTACTATACTAAATTCTCCCAGCAGCGATCCTGATTGGTGATACCACATGCCGAAGCCATTGGTCACCAGGTAGGCAGGCGCTGGCCCCCTGCATGCACTCAGAATTTGAGCGCCAAGCATGTGCAATGCAACAAAGCTACAAAATCCAAGAGGGAGGGCTCTGCACCTGTGCCGAAGGACAACCACCCCACGTCTCACACATGACCAATACTCGGGGAAGAGCAACGTTCGGCTGAATTAACGGCCTTGCTTGGTGCCTGTATCTTGAGAGATGCGATGCCTGTTACTTGCGAATGAGCATGTGCAGCGCGGGGCGATCTATCTGCATCCTAATCAAGTCTGCCTGGACACTTGCTCCTCTGCTGCTGGGCAATGCCTGGAAAGGTTCGATGTCTTTGCATCAGTTTTTGACACAAAATTCCAGGACATTAATGACCCTACATCATGGCTGCTACATGCAACAGGCAGCCTCCTTGCCATTAAATTGAGTTGCGTTCTGCCCGCAAAATGTGCTCCTCTCACTCTCCGTCCCACATGATGTGCATTGCTCGTCGGTGCTTTCAACATCTTTCAATAGTGCCAGATCAAGCTTGCACGCCAGCCTGGGAAGATCAACTCCTTCTGGTGTATTCCCAGGTAGAGGATACACCTCTTGAAGTTTAAGCAAAAAAACAACTTGGCATATTGGTTGGCAAAGCTGTCTTGTCGTGTGCTTCAAAAGGCTGCGCCAATTACCGACACACTGAGCATGCTCACGGCAAAGGGAAAGATGCGCGCGTTCCTAGCGAATTTGATAGGATAGCCATAGTGGGACATGCCAGGACTTCCCGGAATATGGATCCGCTGGGCTTTCCGGGCTCGTGGGTAGAGTGCAAGCATGATGTTGTGGACCGGCATCCTGCAAGTCGCCACGAACAAATGGATGTATATACTTGTTTAAAGAACATTTTTGTTGAGGCAACCGCAAAGCAAAACATCTTGAATGGCAAACCAAATCGAACTATATTTAGCACACTTCTATAGAGAAATTGCTCATGAACACCAGTACTTTGTATTCGCAACAGTCAATGTTTATCGGTCTAGGTAGGCTTCAAAGAGACTGAAACTACATGTTCATTGCACTTCAGCTTTCTTTTGAAACTTTTGCAAGTAAGAACCCCGAACAACGGGGCCTGAGTTATCACACCTGACAAGAGGAGGAGACAGAAAATGGGGTAAGAACAGACGTGTATCTCATGGAATGCGATTGATTTGATGTAGCTTTAGTGTTTCCCAAAAAACTCACACTTTCATGTACTACTTCCCTCATCATCCCTCCAAATCCTCCAGATCCCCTGGTCCCAGTGCCTTAGGATGCGCTGCAAGGCTTCTGTTTGAGCCTGCGCAACTCCAACCCCCAGGTTCACCTGGATATTGAATGATCCACGCCGAGCCATCCAAATCTATGTTTTTTGCAAAAAAATGAAATGACATGATTACACTGTGGAAGACGGAAGGGGAAAAACACCCATTTCAGAACGGGGTCAACTTACAAGAAAACACACACTCACAAGTTAATTTTCCCTAAACATCCAGGAGCCAAATGAATAGCGTGGGCTATCCTGCGTCCTAGCTAGTAGCTTAAGTAAGGAACTAGCTACCTAGCTTCTACTAGCTACCTAGCTAACCTACCTCACCTCTACTAGCGGCCTACCCCCACCCCCGGTCTTCAAAAAACACACACCTGGCACACCTGGCCTTGCCATCTTTTGAGCCCACCAAGGAGTAGAGTAGCTTCCGGGCCGACAAGACCTCGGTGTTTCCGTGCTCATTTGGTTTAAATGAAACACATGAAAAAACAGTGGTCACTCATTCGAAGAGTTGTCCTTCTCGAATGCGTCAGCGACTCGTGGTGAAGGTCCACTTTCTACTACACTTTGTCCTCATATGCAGCATCTTGTCTAAAGTCTAAAGTCAAGCAACATTTTGATCAATAGTCCCTAGTACCCCCCAAAAAAGACACAGCCCAAGTAAATCAAACCCATGTCAGCGAAAAACAAGTCAAAAAACAAGTCAACTGGACAAGTCAAAGTCACAAAAACGTAAAATTGAAAGTCAAAAAAATCAAAAGAATGTCAAAAAAATCAAAAACAGCTCGAAACAGTAAAAACAACAAAGTCAAAAAAACGTCAATCACTCGAAAAAGTTAAAAAGAAAAGTCGAACAAAAGTCAAAACATGTCGTAAAACCGGCAACAAAAAGTCAAAAAGCATCGAGAAATCAAAACAAAATCAGATCCGTGCAAATTGACTTGTGTGTGACTTTATGACATTTTCTGATTTGACTTTTTTTTGACTTTGACTTTTGGGATTGACTTGTTCCCCACCTGCCAGGTGAGGGTTGTTAGATTTTATCACAGTTGTTCTTCCTCCTTCCTTCCTCCTTGCTTCCTTCCTCGCCAATCTTCATCGCCTCGCCAATCTTCATCGCCAATCTGCTTCGCGAATCTGCTTCGCCGATCTTGTCTGGCCAGCTCCGGATCGCAGTGTGCACCCCTGGACCTCAACCGCAAGGATCCGATCGCAGTGTGCACCCCTGGACCTCAACCGCAAGGACCCGATCGCAGTGTGCACCCCTGGACCTCAACCGCAAGGATCCGATCGCAGTGTGCACCCCTGGACCTCAACCGCAAGGATCCGATCGCAGTGTGCACC